TATCATCACTTTGCATTTTTAATGGATAGATAGATAGAAAAACAATAAATTTATTTTTGTTTTTTTCTATTTTTTTAAATTTAATTGGTTAATAATTGCATCACAATTTTGGCATTGCAGCACAGTTGTGGCAAATTTGAAAATTGCAGCAAATCACATGATTACGTCATATTAATTTAATTGCAGCACAATTGCAGCAAATTTAATAATTGCAGCAAATCACATAATTGCGTCATATTGATTTAATTGTGACAAATTTGATAATTGCAGCAAATTACATAATTGCATCATATTGATTTAATTGTGGCACAATTGCAGCAAATTTGATAATTGCGACAAATCATATGATTGCGTTATATTGATTTAATTGCGACACAATTGCGGCAAATTTGATAATTGCGTCATATTGATTTAATTGCAGTAAATTTATATAATTGTGCCACAATTGCAGCTTGTAGCATATTAATTGTGGCACTGTAAAAATTTCAAATAATTGAGTCAATTGTAAAATAATTTTAGCCATATGTATAATGAGTTATGTTTCTATATAACTTGATCAACTTTTCTAAATATCGAAATTCTTCAATTAATCGATATAAAGTTTTTGTCAAAGGATAGTTTTGTCTATAGAAAGTAAATTGAGCCAGTTGACGTTGAATATTTCTATTGGTTTCCTTTATACTTCTTAGGGTTCTTTCTTAAACATGTAAATCATGCTCTAATTCTATACACCATTTATATAAAGAGTGTTCAGGAGTTTTTATAGGAGTCAGAGCAGGAGTAGGAACAGAAGAGACAGCATAAGGAACATGAAAGGAATAATAAATAGTGGCCATAAAAGAATTAGGAGAAATATAATAATAATGACTACCACAATTATGATGACCAGCATGGTAAGAATTATTGGCAGATATCTGAAAAAAATTAGGAAGTGTAGAAAAGTCAGTACCTAATTAAAAAGAAAAGATGATTTTGCTAATGGAATAATCTAGGGATCCAATTAGATTATAACTTTCAATACTTTCGCAGAAAGAAAATAATAATAATAATAATAAATAAAAATTAAAAGAGAACTGGAACAAAAATTAGGTACTTGGGAAGGAAAGATAATAATATGGTTAAGGATGTTAGGTAGTTGTGAACTGAAATAGTTGAGGATATTTGAGGTTTTCTTGTTTTCTTAAATATTGAAAATGAAGGATACAAAAGAAGTATTTGACATATAAGTCTTGTATATAGTGTGGCAAGCACAGGAATACTGATCTAAGTGAATATAGCATATCAGTGCAGGAATACTTGCTAAGTATTGTTCATACTTAAATATTCTTATTCTTATTAGAAAATTATAAAAAGAGTATTGAACAAATAAGTCTTGAATATAATATGACAAGTATAGAAATACTAATCTATGAGAATATAGCGTATTAGCATGGAAATACTTGCTAAGTCTTGTCAATACTTGAGTATTTTTACTAGTTTAAAAAATTGATTATTAAGAGAGACGACTATGAAATTTCCAAATTTAGGCAAATTATTGTTAATCACTTGTAATACTCATGATATAAGGAGGGGAAAATGTTATAGGGAAAAAGTGAGAGGTAAATTATAGGAAATTATAAGGGTAAGTATAATGGTAAGTATATTAAATATATTAAATATAATATATATAATAGATATTTGATGTATAAATAGAAATAGATAGATCAGATCTTGTATACTCGCGCAATAAAGATTGTCTTTCTTGATAAAGTTTGGTTTGGTGAGAATATTCCCAGTATTGTATAGTAAAAGGAATTGCTGTATGCGAAGTAACTAGATAGAATGCAAACCGACGGACTGATTTGCATTGACATTACAGATTCTAACCAAATTTATACACCTCTTTTGAGAAGAAAACCCTCTCGAGCATTATACGACACAAGTCAGATTGAAGCGACTGACTTGCCATGATTTCACTATAACAATTTGATGGTGACTATGAGATTTGAACACCACCGCGACACATACTACCCTGATATTTTTTCTTAAACATGACCACTAGTTAGACGTATCACTTTATATTCTTTTTTTCGTTTAGATGTGACACCAAGCAGACATATACACTACACCTGTGCATACATACAACACACATACTCACTACACCCCAACTCTTTTTTTTTTATCATTATAAAATTTATTTTTATTAATATTTGTCTTTTTTTTTAGTCATAGTCAACTTCATTCTTTTAGTTTTATTTTTTCTATCTAGGTAATAATGGGAATATCTGGAGTAATAAGGGACGTTGTCTTAGGCGCTTCAGACAAGTTGAAAAAATATGGATCCAGGAGAATGGATCAAGATGTATTCAAGGTCTTAAAGAAAGCGGTGACAAGAAGAATATGAAAGGAAGCCCGACTGAGTTCAGGGGAGCGATTGTATGACGCCTATCCGGGATTAGATGAGTTAGTGATATCTTTATGCGAGTGTATTAGTGGAATCCAGCAAATACCCTGACCGGAAAAGCCTCTATACCAGGACCATTGAAAGAAGCAACGCATAGATCGGTGGTAGTACAAAGGATCAGCGAGACCCGTTCGTTTATAAAAACGATAATCCAAAAAAAAAGGATAAGTTTAGAATTGCAGAGAAACCAATAACCCGACTCCCGAGTATAGAACACCAGAATGACACAGTGGGAGAATGAAACATTTACTTGTCATTCGCAATGACCATTCTGCGAGAAATTTAAGAGCCAGGAGAATATCCTTTATGTTCCAAAGTGTCGCGATCACGACGTAAGGAAAGAGAGAACTATCAGGAAGAAATTATGCCCAGAAGCTTACCAACCACGCACGAAGAGGGAGGCCTTCGAGAAGGCAAAGGTAGCCCTGGTGAAGCACTGAGAAATATCAGTGTCAGGATACCAAGTAACCTCGAGGAGATCTCGACATGTGCGAACGATAGGAAAGGGCCCAGGATGGAAGGAAAAAGGAATAATGAAAGTGAGTTAGTATCTGAACCAGCTGCACCTGAAGAAACAATCAAGTTGAGTATAACGCTTATCTCTTATGAGATGTCAGCCTTGAGAAAAGACAATGCTGGAACTCTAAGCGATACCGGAAGAGCTCTAGAGCTCGAGAATAGCGAAGGAGGCTTCGATATAGAAGGGGAGAAAGGAAATAAAAATACAATAATATCCGAACTACGCATGTGTGATGAAATGACAGGGAATGGTGCACCCACCTCTGAGGTGCAGTTCCTGAAGAGCGATGATACTGAGATGCCGAGCACCCCCAAAATCTTGGCAAGTGTGAGGAGCAACGAAAGTTTCGAAGTGGAAGAAAAGAGAGACAAGAACGAATTAGTACCTAAACCAATTACAGACGAAACTATTGAACTGATTGATACACTTATCTGCTGTGAGACACTGGCCATGAGGAATAACGATACTGGAATATCAAGTGCCAGCAAACGAATTTCAACAACCAGAAGCGACAAAAGAAGTCTTGAAACTGAAGAAACCCGGACAAGGCCCTAGAAAGGGAAACACAAGAGAAATTAAAAAAGAGTATGCTTACGAGACTAAGTGGGAAGGAAACAAAACTTACCTATAAGAGAACTCTGGCAGTGAACAGTGAAAACGTTGAAGCGCTGAGTGATAAGATGAGAGTGAAGGAACCCAAAAGCAGCGAGAGAAACGTCAACGCAATAGAAGCCGTAAAGGAACCAGGAAAGGATGGTAAGTTAGTGACTCTGGACCAAGCGAAAGAATGTTATTATGAGAAGAAAAGGAATGACCACCAAGAAGATGAACTACGAAGTACCTGGTATGAAACTGCACCAGCCTCAAAAAAATATAACGATAAAATGCGGAAATCGCAGAGAGACCTGGTTGTAACTGAGATTCATCTCGAGAGGGGCGAATGCAATAAAGAGACAGAATTAATGGAGAGAGATGTGATGTTAGAAACATTTGGAATCAGGGAATCAAATCGGGTCGATAGATGACCTACCATAGGAATACCGGACAAGTGTGAGAATGGGTTGGACAGTCGTGATAAAATCGTATCCATCAATACCATTGAACCTATTAAAAAGAAAGAAGGGTTGAAATTTGATAATAGAACGTGGAAAAATCATTATAATACAATTCAACCTATCTCGAGGGAGCCAGATGGGTACTGTAATAATAACGATAATACCATATTTGCAAAACATGACGTGAGGAACAAAGTGGTAATGGTATTGACTGGTGACATCATAATCGGGAGTTGTGATGACCTGGGAGGACCTAGTGAGGAGACAAACGGAGGGTTAATAATTGGTAATGGGAAGTATGGTGACGCACACAAACTTACCGTGAAAAGATCTGATGCAAATGGAGTGAGATTGGGGTATCGTAATGATGAAGAGATGGTGACCAATGACCCCCCTGATAGGAATAAAGTAGAGTAGAAGATGAAGGAGGGGCCAGTGGTTGTGAGCACGTGGAAACCAGGATACCAGAAGACAAAGCATGGCAACGATAGGTGAACATGCACCTACACGAGATAATTAAGAAGCTCGAGGTGGCATGCTATAACTTCATTGCAAAAATAGTACACTGCACCATGATGATAACCATTATGACGGTCCTGATGAGTAACAGAACTGTCCCAAAATCTGAATGTGCAGAGATAGAGTGACATACTGTTAGGGATGCACCCGACGATAAAGATAAGATCAACCAAGACATGAAAGGGTGGTGTGAGCAAAAAAGTAAAAATCGCGATATGTGTCATGGATGATGATCGCTTGTAGTACTTGTGATCAAGAAGGACAAAGGAAAATAGTAAAAAAAAAAAATGAAATGGATGGATAGGAAAAGCGAGATAAAAAGAGAAACGGAATAGTATTAGTCTAAGTATAGTATAGGAATTATTCAATGACGCAATAGAAATAGCTTACCTTAAATCCTTCAATTATTATTTTTCAATTTTATTTTTGGGTTTTTAATTATTAATACTTTTTTTGGTTTTACTTTTCTATTTTTTGAAAAAAAAAAAAATCAAAAAAATTTGAGTGAAAAGAACATTAATTTTATTTTATAGTTTAATAATTCTTATCTTTTGAAATCCCTTGGAAATTAGAAAAAAAAAGTAGTAGAAATATTTGTTATTTTGATTCTTTTTATGATTTATGTGAATAAATATTATTGGATTCATATATAGCTGTAGACAACCTTGGTTTCTAGAAATAGGAATTCATAGCATATGCTGATTAAGGGTTGGTTAGCCATATAGCACTTATAGTAGCATGATGGTGTTTGAGACTATAATATTTAAGTAATTATTTATTCACGTAAAAATATTTTTTATTGGTTTTGGTTTTATTTTTGTTAAAAAACTTTTAGATTTTTATTAAAATATAATAGATAATTTATTATTAAACACTGCTGTCATCTAGGAAGATGTCTATTTTTAAGTATTTCATAATGAGTTATATACATGTGATAGAAATTATTGAATCGAGTCAGATGCAATTAAAAATAAAGAATTTAACAATTGAGTCAAATCATATTTTTTTATAGTTGATGCAATTATTTTGATGCAATTATTTTGATACAATTATTTTGACGCAATTATTTTGATGTAATTATTTTGACACAATTATTTTGACACAATTATTTTGATACAATTATTTTAATGCAATTATTTAATATAATTATTTTGACACAATTATTTTAATATAATTATTTTTATAAAAATTAAATTAATACAATTATTTTAATTAAAATTAATATAATTATTTTGATTTTTATAAAATTTTTTAATATAAAATATATATATAATATTTTTTTTTTTTAATCAACTAGCTAGGCCTTGCCTAACATGCTTTATTTAGTTTACATATGTATTTCTTTTACAAGA